AGCACACACATAATTAATGACCACAATGAGTGCGACCATTGAAAAATTGTAGCATACTTTGGAATGACTAATGGGATATTTCATATGCTCTGGGCAAATGACTTTTAAGCTGAAGCTTGATGGAAGAGTAGGAAGTATCCACATGAAGAGTGGAAATCACAGTGTTCCAGGTTGTAGCATATGCAAAGGCCCTGGGGCTAATGCAGGGGGAGGGCAAGGAGAAATGGCATTAACTGTATCTGAGGAGGTAGGCAGAGGTCAGATTCTGCAGAACCTTATGAACTGTGCAGAGAATTTTGGGGTATTTTTGCTGAGAACAATAAGGAACCATGAGAGGTTTAAATTTTTAAAATTATGGATCATTTTAGACATTAAAAATATAGGTAACTTATATGGAGGCAATGAAATACAATAACAAAATGAATATATCTGAGGCCCTTGCCAACATAAGCAGTAGAATAGCTTCAGTGTCACTGTGTGTCCTGCATACTTCTTCCCCGTTCCATATACTTGTCTGCTCCCCAGAGGGAACTGCTTGGAATTTTGTATTTACAAATCTCCTTCAAAAAGCACCCCCACCCCCTGTATATATCTCTAAACAATACCTTGCTTAGTTTTGTTTGCTTTGAAGTTTTATAAAACATCTCAGAGTCCCTGATATTGTAATGTGTAGTTCATTTATTTCCACCATTGCATAATATAGCAATGGATGGATTTTAAGCAGGGGGTGATGGAATCAGACTTGCTTTTAATCATATCTTGCTGTGGTTAAGTTTGATTTGGTTGCTTTTGTTTTCTTCCTAGGGGTTCCCTTCAAGTGTAAAGAAGATGTAATATCCAACAATGAAAGGGTCCTGCTATGCCAAGGGGGAACAGCGGTGGAGATTGAATATGTAAGTATTTTTGAAGGTTTCTAGCTCTTGAAGTTTTCCTAGAAGCCACTTAGGTAGGATGTTGTTTGCACCTTCAACAAAGGCAAAAATAAGTGACATAAATCAGACAGCAGTTTATTTTTCTCNGGCGTTGAGAGGTCTCAAACTGTAGATGACTGGTGACACTGGCTGAGAAAAACAGTTGTTCCTTCTGCCTAGCTGAGTGTCAGTTACTACCAACCCTCAGGGCCTGGTCTGTGGAGGCCCTTGGGTCTGTGTCAGGATTCCTGGAAGTGAGTTCAAGTCGTGATGGGGCTGGGTTTGGTTTCCAAAGCCAAAAATGTCTTCGCCCCTAATTCAAAGGATTGATTGGACTGACAAGCCAGGCTAGAATGTATGTGTTGAGCGCTTATCTCATGACTGGCTGATGGGTCTAAGTGGTTTGTCCCCAGGGGTCAAGGAGGCGCCAATGCCTTGAAATGAGGGCATTGGTCCAGCTTCCTGTGGGAAATGTGTCAAGTATGAACTTGGTAGTGTAACTCAAAGGCTTTCTGCTCCACTGAAGGTAGCTTTTCCTTACCCCAAAATGATTGTTCTTTTTTTCTCCAGCTATGTGTAGAAGAAACATGCTTATCTTTGTTGAATGGACTGGCCTACTCCTCACTAATGGCCCTTGATTTTGAAAAACTGGCCTTAGGTGACCAATGACCCTGAGAGACATGTGTCCTTGCCCAGGACACAGGCCCTGGGGCACACTGATGTGCATTTTCTATTCAGTTACTCTCCATTATCACAATGTAACTCGCATTGCCTCCCACCATCTTTATCTAAGATGGCTCCTTCCTGAGGAAAACTGGCCAGTTTCAACATGCCCACATTTAGATGTGGAGGCAAGTTTTGAGGATGAGAAGGGTGAGAAGGAGCAAATAGTCCCAGACTGAGGGATGGGGACTGAGTTGGGGGAGCTGGCACTTTCCTGCACACAGATGGAAGTTTAAACCAAAAAAGTGCCCTCTAATGAAGGAAGGACAAATCAGACGGCCAAGGAGAATGCCTGAGAGTGTTTCTTAAAGTCATCAAAGCACTTGTTTCCTATTAATAATCTGTATTATAAAAAGGCAAAGGTGGGAACTATTAAACTGAGATTTGGAGAGCTAATATGTGACCCTTGTCTAACGTATTTGACTTTGGAGTCCTTCTTCCATAATCATCTCCTCAAACTGGTGTTTTGTGGAGCGCATTTTTGGNTATCATGCGCCAGCCTCCCTCTCAGGCTTGCAGTGAGCTTCCCGCAATTAGCTGCTGTGTGCTCTGGAACCGTGCTCACCACCAAAAACCCTCACAGGTTGTGGCGGTCTGTGTGCTGCTGCAAAAACCCCTCTGTGGCCTGTAGAGGTGGGGGCCAGGTACCAGGGGCTCAGAGTGCCCCAGGCAACACAGCTATAGGTGGGCGGAGCAGGCCTGTGAGGCACCACAGGGTGTGGTCAGTGGCCCCCACCAATTCAGAGCATAATGCACTCCTGCACTGACAACCAGACCACACAAACGCGCCAGGAATACCCCGGCCAGATCACGCAGGTGCACAGCTCCCAGTCCAACACTCCCAGGAAAACTCCCAGTCTCAGCCTGTCCCAATCAGTCGGTCGCAGATCAGGAAGAGCAGCCCCACAGCCAATCACCAGCCTGGCAACTCTGCACGCCCAGTGTGAATGGCGGGGACTGGAGTAGGCTCGCGCACTCCCACATCTCAATGAGCAGCCTGTTGGAGCTGGAGCGCAACCGCCAGGCATTTCCCTGGCTGCGCAGCACAAGAAATACAGAGGGTGGGGACCCAAGGCCCAATGTATGCGCATGCACACACACACTCCTGTGCCAATTCCACCAGACCATTGTG